GAAATGAATGGATGTGATGCTTTTAGAACAAGGATGAAGTGTAATTTTGCTCTCAGCACTTCCAACTTAAAGATGGGAGTCCAGGTTGACTCTTAACACATCTTCTGTACAGCTACATCATGTGCATAATGGGGTTTTGATATTTGAAGTTTTGAACAATGTGAATTGCAAGCTTGAGTTGCTTTTACATGATGATACCACAGATATTATCAAACTTCTGTTAGAAATGTTGATATCACTACAGTTGCATCTCCTCTCTGGCTATCTATCTATCCATCTATATGTCCGTCTTTCTTTAAACTTGATGATGGGTTGCATCTACAGCACTGAAAAACGAAAAGCATTAGAATTTAGACAAACGAAAATAAGCTGTTAGGTTCGTGGGGCCTTGGTAGTTGAAATAGCTTTGTCATTAGTGTAAAAGACTTTTGCATCTCCGTAACAAGAGTTCAAATCTGTGCTTCCCCTTCCTATATCCTCCTTCCTCCACAAATGTAAACCACTTGCTTTAGTACATTAAAAAAAAAAAAAAAAAGGGGCTGTTGGGTTCTTTGTTTAACAGTGCTTGGAGAATTCAACATTGTCATCTCTCCTATATAACAAAACATGTCATATCATTCATGGACAGGTTTAAAGTTCTTATAAGCTAGTACTGCATAGAAAGGGTCTGCACCAGACATCAATCCCACCAACCTCATGAACCAGCTGAATGGTGATTCCCCGTCTTGGGCCTTCCCAGTAGCTGGTAACTTTCGGATTATTTCTGGTTGAGTAAATCCTTCAATGCATTGGAAGTACTGCACAACCAATTGCACCCGGCTATAAGCAGTCCCATCTCTCCAGGCACCAATGGCTTTCTCATAGAACATTCGGTTGCTGAAGCTCACCATGAACATCCCTCCTGGTCTAAGCACTCGAAAAACTTCTGCAAACACCTGAAAATTGGATTTTGACATACTTATCTCAGCAGGTTTTGCATTTTGATTCTGTTACTAGAAAAGTAGCATTCTGTTACCTTTTCAGGCTGCTGAAGGTATTGGACACTAACAGTGCATAATACCGCATCAAAGCTGCTATCTCCTAGCTCTAGCTTTTGATCCTGGTTGAGATCCTTGACAAAGAAGTAATCCAGGCAGGGGTTCTTGGCTAGCTCCTGTGCATTAAGCCCATGACCCACAACTCTTTTGTACACTACTTCCTTGGGCAGATGGCTAATCCATGAGCTCATGAGGTCAAGAATCTCCGAGCCAGGTCCCAGCCGCTCTCTGTAGAGATCAGTCAAAGTGGAGATGAAGCTATCATCGACATGGGTCACAAAGCGTGGATAAGCATAGAATT